CTAGATAACTTTAATAAGTAAATGATTTGTCGAAAAAAAAAGTGGGTAGCGTAATGTTTTACACGATTGAGCAGGAAATATGCGAAATATTCCCTTCTGCAGTAATTGAGTTGGTTTGTTGAGAAATCAAAATTAGCCAACTTCAAATTTTCCAAATGAGTATTTTAAGATGTATTGTTGATATACCAAGTCATCTTGTAAACCAATTTTTAAAGAATTGAAGATTTTACAATACCTTTATTTGATATACATATATTTGAAATAAGTGTATGCTTTTTAAAATAAAAGTAACTTTGTTTAAATATAAATAGTCAATTTCATAATGAGCCAAATCACGTCAGCGGATCCCCAATTTTCCACTTAATCACGGAATTTGAGTTCATATATTTTAATCAAAAGTAATCATTACCAATCCTGTTTTTCAAAATTTTAATTTTGACAATTTCTTTTTTGCTATAAACATTTTCGGGATTTTAAATTAAAAAATTAATTGTGTAAAAACCACATCTTATTGAGATTTATTTATATTTATATTTTAATAAAAAATAAAATAAATATTATTTTTAATTAACTTTTAAATAAATAGACTTTAGATAGGAACTACAACGTAACAGAAATTTTATTGTTTGATATTGTTCCTAATAAATGATAAAACCGCGGAGTGCTACCTTTTAAAGGGAGTAGTAAAATCTGTAAGATATTTATTAAGTTGCTTCACCTACAACTATGACTATAACATACCCAACTTTCAATAACATTCAAAACTTGTCAGTCTGTGTCCAAATAGAATAATATTCAAATAGGGTGTACGCTAGTGTATTGTTCCGACTTTAAAGGCCCAATTAAACATGTTAAAACAATACGTTTCTAAAGACGAGTTCTATAAGCCAAGCCTGAAGGTACTTCTCTTAACATAACGATAATATGTACGTTTCAGTTCCAATAGCACCCTCAACAGAACTGAAAAAGCTAATAGAATAAAGGATATGTTAGAAAAAATAACATATTTAGAGCACAAGTGTCAAATTTGTATTAGTTTCAAAATTTTTACTATTATCTTGGAACACCGATCAGGATTTATCGAATACAGTAGAGATAGGAAAAATCACTATGAGCATTTGGGCTAACCGACGAAATCCAAGAGAATCCAAGATCTTTTAACGCTTTTGAAACACCTTTAATATATCCATCCAAGGTTTTGCTTTCTCCACTACACATAAAAACTTGAACCAATGAAATAATTCGCTAAGGCTTCGAACAAATAAGATCGTGATTGAAAATGAAAGATACTGAGAAGGTTGCATAGCAAAGCTTCAGAAATATAACAGAAATCCTTTNCTTAATTATTTATTAAAATATAAATATTACACAATAAGTCCTGAAAAATTCATTAATATATCTTTAATGGTTCTAACCTAACACAATTAATATTTTAATTTAAAGTCCGGAGAATGTTTATTGCAAAAAAAAATTGTTGTTAAAATGAAAATTTTGAAAAACAGTTTTAGGTTATTATTGTTGGTAAATAATGGAGGGCTTCATCTATGCATTTAATATTTTATAGAGATGTTAAACCAATATAATATTTTTTTTTAAATGGCCTCTTGAGACCTTCTCTCCTGTTTTTCAAACATCCCACATAAAACCAAACAAACTGTACATTGGCTGCAAGTTTTTAAGTGAATGATACCCACCGTCCATCTCAGGTGGATCACCGGATCACCTTGCACACATGTTATGAAATTTAAAGTGAAACTAGCCGATTGTAGACAGTCGGTCGTTTTAAATGTCAATATCAGCGGCGTATGTGAAGCTATTATAAGTCAAAGATCAGAAAAAATATGTAAACGACTGCAGTAGAAGCCGGTGTGTAGGCGAGACAAGAAATAGATATTTCATTTATGGTAATTGCCAGCGATGAGGGTTATATTGTGTAGGATCTTGCAAACAGTTCAAATCTTGACTTTTGCTTCTGTTACCACATGACCTCCAATATATTTTTTAAGATGCTATATAATTTTTTATTTGAGGTTATAAAATTATTTTTCTTTCATATTTGGTAGGTATTTAATTCATAAATATTATTATTACATTTTTTATTCATCCTGTATAAAAGATCGGCGCCGAGATGGTAATATTCTTTTCTCAGAAAATAAATTAGTCAGAAATTAATATACAAGCACCGTAAAAGTTCCGTAAATCATCAAAATTTAATAGCTATAAAAATGGTACAACTTATTTATGGAAATGAATGAAATTAATGGAATATTTAGACGAAAAAATGTATATAGATACCACCATTTTTTTTATCAAAGATATTTTTTATAAATAAAATCTATAAATTGAAATTTTAAAAGCATTAGACATGTGCATATCAAAGAAGCAGATAGGTATTTGACAAAAAAAACACATAATGAGTTAACAAGCAAAGTGATATTTGATAATTTGGAAGCAAATATGCTCCTACCATTATTTTTGGACCAGGTGAACTGATTTTACAATTATCTCATTACTATTGGAATTCCTTTAAGTGAAAACAACTTACATTTTTTACGACCATAGTATGATTATTTTTTTAGTTGCTATAATTATAAAACTATTTAGTGAGCGATTAATCAGTTAATAATACCACATTATTTGGAAATAGGATTATTTTCTTAGTATTCAAGTTTTAACTATATCTACAGAGTGAATATAGATTAATTTCAACACTGCATAGTTTAATATTGAGACTAAAAAAGATAAAGCAAGTTAATTTGTTGTTAATTAATTGTTAATTAATTAAATCTATATCACTGTGATAGTAAGGAATAAGGAAACGTACTGTTCAAATCTGAACAATATACATTTAAAAACTCCTTTTTAGGCTTGTATCTAGGTAGGTAACAGAAGATTTCGAATATTTTATTCTTATATATTTTGCACATCTCGAAAGATAAAGGGAGATTATATATATCTTAGACAAAAAAAGGATTCCAAACTAAAACATTTAGGAGTTTACACTATAAAACTAAGAAGTAATCTCACGTTTTACAAAAGATTGTCAGAAGCTTACAATGGAATTGTCTAAATAAGCTATACGAAACGGTAAGAACTTCTGAAGTTATTTTTTTGAAAGGTACGCTAATACGAATACGAAGACTTCGTGTACCAAATATGCCTTGTTTTTCAAATATGGGCCTCTCAATGATCTGTCGTCGTTAGTAACATTGCTTTTGTTGTTGCATTCTCGGTATAATACAAGCACCATTCAAAATAAATCAGCAGCGCGGGGAATCTATTTTCAACGATATCGAGGTCACTTCCGGGAAAATCAGAACTAATCTATTGTTAGCGTAACTACTAAATATCACAGTTTAAATCCAAGAATCAAGGAATATTTTATCGACGGATATCAAAGGGATTTGGACGTTTTTCTGCACTTACGTTTGTTTTCCATATTTTGTGGTGTCTAGGACGGCGGCATCTTGTAATTTTTCATTCTCGCGAGCGCATGCGTGGCTGTTCTTTTTTCCCTTGGCTTCAGTGGCCCTCCAGTCTCCCAGGAGTCTTGCTGCTTTATCGACAGCCGTTTCTGACTGCTTCCTCACTCTGTAAAATGATTCAGTACATCATATAAGGACGAAAAAATGGATTTTCAACAACCATAATTAGCTTGTCAAACTCACTGTTTAAAAATTTTTAAAAAGTTCTAATAAATACAGGCATGACAATGCGTCCGAAGGGTTAAAGGGAAGGGAAGGGTTAAGGGGAATAAAATGGATATTTGGCAGGCTGATTATGGAAGATCTTTTATATCTAAGCTTTTAACATTATTTTATAGACATGAGTCAACTTAGATAAATAATTTACCTAAAGGAGAAAGTATACTTTAATAACAAACTTCATTATTTGAAATCCTATAATTATTGATGAAGCATTGTAGTTTGTATTTTGTTTCTTATATTTTTTTTCTACTTGCATCTAATTACTGAATATTTTAAAAACAAATTGTTGTTTAACTGTAAATCAATGAAGCCATCGTCTGACAAAATATTAATTAATCTGTTCTTATATACAAGATGTTCCAGGAACTAATGCCAAAATTTTAACCACGCATTTAACTCAAAACACAAACACAAAACACTAATTTTTATCTAATAACTTTTTTTTTCGGCAACCACTTAGTTTTTTAAATAATACGATTTTTAAAATTTTAAAATTTTTGTTACTCGCCACTGAATCATAAGTTCAAGCAAGCGCTTCGTTGAATTGATAATAAGCAAAAAGAAGAACAAAAATGTGAACCAATCAGAATTTAGGCTAGCAAAAAAATTTTAAGATAACAATGGTTCCGTAAAATATTCACATACGTTGCTTAGGTATTTCTTTAATCCACAGTCAGCTCGTTAGAGATATTTTGATGAGTACAAAATACCAGACAAAGATGTCAATTATGGAAAAAAAATATAAAATAAAAAAATAAAAAGTTTGACGTTTATTTCTGAGACAACTTGTATAATAATATAAATATTAATACTAGATTTGTTAGCTGTTACATGTTATTTTTAAAATGTATTCTTTTGTAGAAATTATAGTAAATCGTCATGTAATTTGAAGAATTTTGAGGAAAGTACATGAATAAAAAAACATGCTGTTATAACTGTAATAAATGCCGGAAATAACAGTGAAGAAAATCCTCAAAATGTAGGTTAGCGCGAAATCACGTATATTTAATTATAACGTAACACACGTTCAGTTACGTAAATTCTGTAAATTAATAATTTTATAATGATACGTCATTACCCGGGTTAGTGATGATATTTTAATAGATGCAATTAAAATTACGTATCTACACAAATTACATACAGGGTGCTTCAAATTACGTAAGCATATTACTAATTTTGTAGAAATACAATCGAAGAAAAATTGAAAATAACGTTTATGAAATATTTGCTAGAATATTTTTTTAAATGAGATGTTCTGTATAATATAGAAGGTCCTACGGATATTTCAATTGGTTTTTTTTTTTCGTTTAACCTATATTAATTAGTAGAGAAGTTGCTACTTCTTCAGCAATTTAACAGACAATCTCTAATAAGTTGGTAACACTGACGTCTTAACTGAAAGTCCTGTATTTATACTCAAAAAATGTCCATTTATAATTAGAAGAAATTAGAGAAGGTGCGGGAAGTTTTGAAAACGTTATTATTTCATTACTATGCATAGGTTGCCGCGGATTTGTTTGACAAATTATCTGTCATTTTATGCCATTTAGTAATCATGGAACAGTGGTCCGGCAAACAACGTTCTTTTGCGATTAAATCTTACTACAAAAATAATGATTGTGTGGTCGCAGCACAGCGGCAATTTCGAATTAATTTCAACATTGCTCGTCACGGGAGAGTACCATCTGCNAGCTGTTACATGTTATTTTTAAAATGTATTCTTTTGTAGAAATTATAGTAAATCGTCATGTAATTTGAAGAATTTTGAGGAAAGTACATGAATAAAAAAACATGCTGTTATAACTGTAATAAATGCCGGAAATAACAGTGAAGAAAATCCTCAAAATGTAGGTTAGCGCGAAATCACGTATATTTAATTATAACGTAACACACGTTCAGTTACGTAAATTCTGTAAATTAATAATTTTATAATGGTACGTCATTACCCGGGTTAGTAGAGATGATAATTTAATAGATGCAATTAAAATTACGTGTCTACACAAATTAGGGTGTTTCAAATTACGTAAGCATATTACTAATTTTGTAGAAATGAAATCGAAGAAAAATTGAAAAATAACGTTTATGAAATATTTGCTAAAATGTTTTTTTAAATGAGATGCTCTGTATATTATGACATATTTTAATAAATAAAGAAGGTCCTACGGATATTTCAATTGTTTTTTTTTTCGTTTAACCTATAGTAATTAGTAGAGAAGTTGCTACTTCTTCAGCAATTTAACAGATAATCTCTAATAAGATGGTAACATTGACGTCTTAATTGAAACTCCCTGTATTTATACTCAAAAAATGCTTATTATCACTTAGAATTAGAAGAAATATAAGGATAACATTTCAGACAATCCATATCTACTCTCACTATCACTAAAAAGTTGGTAAAAATATTTTTACTATAGATACACTCAAGCTGTAGGCAAAGTCCATTAATTTTTAAAAAACAACAGAACAGTTGGAAACGCTCAGTGTATGTTAATTTTATAGAATTCTATAGATTAGAGCTATCCGAATTTATCGTTACGCATTCTTTGGATTTTATATGCATCAGTGGGCTGTAGGAATTTGCATACATTGGTACACTCGTTAAATAAATTTAAATTATAGAGGTAAGTAGGTATATCGGAACAAGTCTAGAGGATTTTGTTTTTATAATCCTTTAAGTCAGTCAAAAATATAAAGACACTACTCTAAATACGTAGGTATGTTTCAATACAATTACGCATTTTAAAGAAAATCTCAAATGGTTTATATTATACAGGGTATCTTAAGTTAAAATAAACTGAAATCTTGGAGGAATAAATTGCTCACTGTAAGTTAAGAATAAAGTTACTGTGAACCTAATATCGTACCATTTTTTTGAGGAAAGAAATACAATTTTTTGATAAATGTTTAAAAAAAGAAAGAGAATTGGATATTACTGTCTATATAAAATTTATTTCCAAAAATATGATGCAGGGAAAAAATATCATATATCTGTATATATTCGTAGTAAAATATCATAATTTTAAATTAAGCAATTTTTCTTCCCTTAAAATTTATTTACTTAAATTTGACTTGCGATATTTTATTTAGTTCAAGGATTTAATAAGCTTTTTCAAGGATTTAATAAGCTTTTATGCACAAATTAATTATTTATTTGGGTGTATATAAACTTGGGGTATATATGAAGAAAAAACTTCTTCACTTTATGCTTATTTTAGATTTACAATATTTTACTACAAATATACGCAAATAAGATATGCCAGATAATATTTTTGTGTGTTCTTAAAAAATGATATATCGAAGTAAGTCACATTTTTTCTCTAAAGAGTACAAGTGTTACATTATTATTGTTGTAATCTACGAATTATTTCAAAAAGTTCTCTGAAATTATTTTTTTCATATACAGGGTGTTGCATAAGTGTGCCCATACAAAAAATCAGATCTGCATTCCTACGAAAATTTTTAGAGGGTCTTTCATATATATTTTAATTGGCACCTCCCCAAAAAAGTTAAATTAGAATGGTGTAAACTGGATTATTGAACATAAAAGGAGAAGTAAATAAAATTTTAATAGAAGTCATATTAACTTTACAAGAGTTTGCAAAATAGCCTAATTATGAAGAATGCATTTATTAACTTTTTTCAAAAAATTAAAGTGCAAACTTCTAAAAATATACTTTTTTCTCAAAAATGAAGAACAATACAAAACTTTTCTAAGAGTCAAAAGAGTTTCTGAATAAACAAATGTATCTTAAAATATTATTTTGCTTACGAAATCTGAAAGAATAAAAGGGGTGGTTTACATTATCCCTTATAGCAAACCAGCAAAATGGAAGATTTGCCAGTAAAATATGATTTTATATGTTTATATGTATAATTATTACAAATTTCGTTTACTTATATTCAAAAGTTTCTGAGAAAAATTAAAAAAAACAGTTCAGGCCGTCCCCATTTAATGGACTGTCACTTTTTAGAGGAAGCTTCAATTAAAAAAAAATGTATGAAAGACCTCTGTTAAAATTTTCCAAGGAACGCAGTCCTGAATTGTTTGTACATACTTTATTAAAATTATCATTTTTATTAAACATGCATTGTTTATTGACGTTAAAATTCGCTTACCTGTGTTGACTTTCCGTGAGGTTCCTCAGTGGCTTGGCTGTCTCCTCGAGTAGCGCCATCCCCATCAGCCTGTGCCCTTCAGCCCTCGCCTCCAGTTCCAAGGCGACGGCCTTCCAAGCCTCGTTGAGACCGCCGATCCCATCTCGACACGCCCTCGAAAGCTTGGCACTAAGCTTCGAGAGGCTTTTGGCGTACTGTGTCTCAGCTTCAGCCCTGAAAAAAAAACAAGCGTCTCTGTAGAAATATTGAAATTTTCGTTTTGTTACATTCATTATACATATATTTTCGTTTTTATTATTTATTATATAACCCTCCCCTCGCTAACTTTTCAGAATTAAGACCTATCAATAGAAGACTCAGGTAAAAGTTGCAGCATATCAAGAAAGATCTTGGAATTAAGTTTACCTTAAGTTTCAAGGTCAACACAAGGTCACCTTGAAAATTGTCGAATAATTAAAAACGTTTTAAACAAAATTTGGAGCAATTTGAATAAATATTAGATGGTGACTTTTATATGCATTATTTTATATCACCTTGTTGACCTTCAAATAATCTGCAAGGGCATCCTGGAAAAATTCTTTCATCCCAAATTACGACATAAAATTTGACGCAGATTGATTAGTGGCATAAACAACAGAACATTGCATTTGATATTAAGTTGACCTTAGTTTGAACTTGAAATTTGTGGTGAGGGTCAAATCCAAGATCGTCGTCTAATGAGTCACAATCATACAAATTTGACATGAAACATTTTAATTACGATTCCACTGTTTTGCAATCTTGAATAATTATCCAATTCAAGGTTTTAGTGGGATAAAGATCAATATATAAAAGAACACTATATTTTAAATCATTGCCAACGTTTCGGTGTTATTTTACACCATCCTCAGGGCTCGAAATTTGAACTGTCTTTTGTCCAACTTAACAGTTCTAAATATTAAGAAGATGGTATCTAGATCAGAATTATTCTGCTGAACATTACCTAAGACGTTACAACAATTTTTACTGTGAAAGAAAACCGCATTGAAATTGTTCCATGAATTATAAGTACACATATAAGTATATAACGAGCGTTCAAATAAAAACGTGGTCGAAGTTGGCTCTGACACATTAGACGTAGGGAGCAGCTTATAGCGACCAACTTAACCTCATTTCTCAACGAGCTGTATAGCAGCTGTCAGTTTCAATAACGTTAATGACTATATAACTTTATTTTAAAGAATAATCGTGATAACAATAACAAACAATTAAAGGAGCTGCGGAAAGTGTCCCCCTCCTTGTTATAACAATAAATTAAAGCAGCTGCTGAAAGTGTCCCCCTCCTTGTTCCAAGCACTTTTCACACCTGTTCCTCAAAGAATTAAAGACATTTTCTAAGATGCTCGGGGTATTGTTAATTTCACGAATCTTGTCTATAAGTCGAGCCTGCAGATGGTTTAAATCAGGAATAGGCAGTTCAAAAATAGTGTTTTTAAGGTAAGGCCACAAAAAGAAATCACACGGCGTAATATCACATGACCTCGGTGGAAATTCATGTTCAGCATTGAGACTTATTAGTCGATTTTGGAAAACTTCCCTCAACATATTCATCGTCTCGCCTGCCGTATGTGCCCTTGCGCCATCTTGTTGAAAGTAAAAGTTTGTAATTTCGTTTTCTTCCAGCTGGTTAACAAAAGGAGCGATAATTTCTTCTCTATACCTTTGCGCAGTAAGAGTACCATTAAAAAAAATAGGTCCATAAATCCTCCTTCGATTGAGAGCACACCAAACTCCAATTTTTTGAGCGTGTAGAGGGCCCTCGACAAAAAAGTTATCTGGTTTTTCAGAAGACCACATTCTCATATTCTGTGAGTTTACGTAACCACTTAAATGAAACCAGGCTTCATCAGAAAAAAAGGTGATATTATGAAGTTCACCGTAGTTGTTTAAAAACCATTCACAAAATACAGCCCGTCGCGGAAAATCAACTTCATGAAGTTCTTGCTGACAAGTTAAACGATAGGAGAACAAACGCAAATCTTTTTTTAACACTGTGTGGCAGGTACCGACTGATACTCCCACCATTTGTGATAAAACACGTACAGAAGTTCTTGGCGCATTTTCCATTATTTGTTGGACATTTTCTTTTAATTCTTCAGTCCGCTTTTTAGGTCGGCCGCTTCCTTCTTTTCTTGTTACACTGCCCGTTTCACGAAAAACATTAACACAACGCTGAACTGCACTTTGAAAAATGTTGTACTCAACAACGCCGGGAAATTGATTTTGAAATTCTATGAAACATTCCTCAATAGAATACTTCCATATTCCATCAATCTTGCGTCCATTTCTAAAGTAGGACTCTATGATAAACACTTTTTGTTCTTGAGAAAACACCATTTTTAACGCTTTTTAAAACGAAAATGTTCAAATTGATAACGGCGATATAGCGTTTTGACAGATGACGTTTAAGTTCATTTGCTATACGCTACGCCCTACGTCCAAATTTTCAGAACCAACTTGACCACGTTTTTATTTGAACGCTCGTTAGATACCATGTTCTTTTATTTATTGATCTTTATCCCACTAAAACCTTGACTTGGATGAAAAATTTTTCTCCACAATTTGATCTTGTCGAATTATGTAGAGAAAAATGTATTTGTCCTTCAAATGATCTACAAGGACATAGCGAAAAATTTTTCTGAACCCATATTCGGACGTAGAATTTGCCGCTCTAACGATTACTGACATAAAAAATACAACGCTCCGTTTAATGTTTTCAGACTTCAATTTGGTTGACCTTGAAGCTTAAGGTCACAGTTAGATCCACCAGTATATTGGTTGTTGATATTCTACAATTTTTATCTGAAGAATTTTGAAGTGTTATTGAAGGTTTGGGTCGTTCTGGGACATTGTTATATTCTAGTGAACGTCTACACTTCAGTGTCAAACTAGTAGACAGTAGGGTCGATAGTAAATCAAAACACAATTTTAATAATTTAAATTAAGTACACATATCGGAAATGAATGCTTGTTTTTTGGTAACGGTTTACATTTGTTCGTGTCGCGACGAACAGGAGATTAGGCCATTTTTAGAATCCTCTAAAATGATACGCCCATGGAATCGCAATTCCGCGTACCCGTTTCAAGGATCTACATGCTGAGACTGAACCTACTATTTTGGCACTGGAGTATAAGGTGTATAAAGATTAGATACATC